GGCTCCCCATAATTGTTAGATGATGAATGAACAAATTTAAAAATTAGGCCATATTATCTATTTGATGCCAAAACACAGGCTAAAGTGATAGGAGACATAACCACCAATCTATAAGGCCACTGTCAAATATGCCCTAATTTAATTTGAGAAAGTCAACCAAACATACTTGAAAAGAGACTGAATAATCCACTCCTCTGTGTGTGTGTGTGTGTGTGTGTATGTGTGTGGTTTTATTCCCCCTACTATCAAGTCACTTAGATTTGTTTTGATTTACAACTAGAATGGAATCAATGGAAAGAACTCCCCAAAACAGCCTTCAGCTGTACTGATCTAACTTCCATAACAGTGAAACTTAGAACATATTTGAGGTGAGGCTGCATTGGGATTCCTTCTGGAGTAGAAAGTTCCATGTAACCAGATGGAAATTTCTAGATACTTAATTCCCACCACTAGTTCAACAGAAGACAGCGTCCAGGGAGAGGAGAAAGGAAAGGAGCCCGTGAACCAGCACATGCAGGGGAGGTCGCTTGGGCCCACTGGCAGTCACATCTCACATCCTCCTCACACCCGTGACATAGCTGGTGCTGAGCTTAAAGTGTGAGCTCCAGAGCCAGGCCGTCTATGGGCAAAGCCTGGCTCTGAGATCTTGCACAAATATTAGCCATGTCCTTCAGCCAGTCTCCCCCTCTGCCAGATAAGGATAATAATTCTATCACGTGGGGCCGCCGTGAGACTCTAAATGAAGAGTGCTGACACGCGATAAGCACTCAGCAAATTTAGCTGTTGTGTTTTCTTCATTCAAACACTGAAGCGCTGACAGGCTGAAGAACTTGTTCAAGTCCCAGAACTAACCTATAGAGAAGGCCGGCTTCGAACACAGGTCTGTTTTACCCCACAGCCCACCATCCTGGCTCTGAGAAGGCTTAAGATTTCTCTACAATGCTTCCACCCCCTTTCCTGTTCTGGTCTCTTCCTTGGTTGCTTCCTCTTCTCTTTTTGTTTTTTCTACACACGCACTTCTTTTCTTTCCTAAAGCCTTCCCTTCCCCCTCTCTTTCCAGCGGCGGTAGATTTACACTTTTAGCAAGGACACAGAGGGAAGCAATGCTTACACAGACATTCTGAAAATGCTCTCAGGGCTTCAGGATTATGAAGAGTGACCCAGGAATCAAGCACAGGTGACTGAAGGAAAGGGGATCTGACATTTACTAACCATCTACTAAGTGCTAGGTAATGTTTGGACGATTTATATACACTATCTCATGTAATCCTCACAGAACACAGGGGGTGCATCCGATGACACCTGCTTTATAGCTGAGGACAAGGAGTCTGACAAAGGTTAAATGATTTACAAAAGCTGTTAGATGGCAGAGCTGACAGCTGAGCCCAGGATTGCTGTCTCCAAAGCCCCCACTCTTCCCATTACAGGTCACTATATTAAGCAAAGACCTGAACACTCCTCAAACTAGATAATCCAGACACTGACTACATAATCAGGATTTGGAAATTTGGGTGTGCTCAGTGTCAAAGCCAGTTGACTTGTTCCACAGTAGTTAATTACATATTGGTAAAATATTGGAAGGGAACGCTCATGGCTTCATTAAAGATCCTCAACCTAACAGATTTTACAGAGCTCAGAATCAAATTCTGGAATCGTACTCTCTTTACAGGATAAATTGCAAGCGAAACTGAAATTTTAATGGTTCCCACCTGCAGTGTTCGCCTCTATAGGAGAGAAACCATTAGTTGAATCTGTATGAGTTTCAAAGTGTAAAATCTCATGACCAGTGGTGTCAAATCACAGCTGCTTAAAACAACATAAGAGCTAATAGTGAAGACAATCTTTGACATTCAACTGTCACAAAACCACTTGAAGTTCTACCCTCTGTGTTATCTAATAAAAGACAGAAAAAACTACTATAGACAGGCGTGAAAAAAAAGTCAAAGGTCAGTGTGTTCAAGTGATTTCAAAACAAGTAGGTACAAATGACTAAGAATACAAATATGAGACATAGAAGTCAGCTCTCTTGAAATGAAACTACCTCCTATGTGAAGGGGGAAAATGTAGGGTTAAAGAGGAGGAAGCCACTTTTTTTTTTTTTTGATGAAAAAAGAGAACATTCTAAATTAAGCAGGAGATTGGCCTAAATGACCTAAATGACCTCAAGAGTTCTTTCAACTCTAAGATCCCGAGATTCTAGGATTCTAAGAAATGGTATTCATGGTGAGTGAATCAGAACCAAGCCATGTGTTGCTTCTGAGATAAGCTTCCATGTTTGAAGCCAAGGCAAGTTCAGGGGCCTGGACAAGAGCAGGTGAATCACAGGGTGGAAACAATCCCTCCATGGGGATTTTAGCAGGCAGTGGGGAGAAGTGTAGAGATCTGCAAGAGCAGCGGGAATATGGAAAAGGCATATCCTGAGAGGCAGAGGACTACATGAAACACACGTGAGCTTTTCTCCCTGTCCTGATCTAAGCCATGCTCGGAGTGGGACAAGATAGAGACACGCCATTCACTACCTTGGTTCCTTGATGTCCACTCTTTGGTCTGTGATACATTTATCTAAAATACAGTTGCAAATGGCTCAATTCAAACAGGTTTTACAAACAGCTACTTGAGTAACCAAGTTTTTAGAGGTAGGCTCAGGCCTTGAGATGGTATCATTTGCTATGCCTCATGTGAAGGTCCTACCCAGACTCCTCTGTCTCCCCTCTCCTTGACTGGTGACTTTTAGCACTTGGTTCACTCTCTCTTTCCACCCTCTTCCTGTCACTGTTCTTGGTGGCTCATGTCCACACGGGCGTTCCTTCCAGCGGCTGGTACTGTCAGTCCCTCCACGTGCCCACTTCCAATGGTCTGTTTCTCTCAACGGATGACTTTGCCTCAGACTTCACTGAGCAAAAGAAAGCAATAGCACAGGAATTCCCTCATCTTTCCACCATGAAAACTTCCATACTTCCCCATCAGTTCCCTGACACAGCACTGCTGGTGTCACAATGGATGAAGCATTCCTAATTCCACCACAGTCCATCCCTTAACTAGAGTTCTGGATCCCATCCCCTCTTGCTTTATCAAGGACCTCTCTGACCATTATCCCCACCTTCCCTGCCTCATTAATTTCTCCCTCTCTGCTGGTCCCTTATCATCCTTTCACAAATCTACTATATTATCTCTGATCCTAAAAACGAAACCAAAGAACAAATTTCTTGATACCACATCCTGCTCCAGTTACTGCCCCGCATCTCTGCTCCCCTTCAAGAGCTTCCTGAAAAGAGCTGTGAATTGTCATTGTCTTCGTTCTCTCACCTCACGTTCCCTCTCGACCTCACTTGTGAAGAGCTTGTTTCTTCATAGAAGCAGGGATGTTTAATCCATACTAAAATCAAGGACGGCACTCTGAGCTATACTAGGCACTGGCAAATCAACCACAACCAGTCAAAACCTCAGACTCAAGTGCTTATAGTCTACCTTGGAAGGTTAGGGAAAGATTCCCAAAAGAGGAGACACCAAGATGAAATCCAAAGTCCAAAGGGAATTCTGGTGGCCTTCCTCCATGCTATGGACTGATCCTCAATGTGATGGTATTTGAAGGGGTTGGGATCAGAGGAGATTAGAAGAGACCAAAAGAAGGAGAAATGGGATAGGGACTGTTACTGGATCTCAAGCATAACATTTTCCTCTAATGAAAATGTTTGCATGTACATACCTTTAGAAGGGTAGAGAACCATTCATTCTCATTTCCTTAAGCCTTAGGCAAAAAGACACAAGTATGACGTTTTCAAGTTTGGCTAGTTTAGGGGCCAGCAAACTATGGCCCATCCGCCAAATCCAGCCTGCTGCCTATCTTTGTATGGCCTGTGAACTAATATGGTTGTTATGTTTTTTAAATGGTTGAAAACAAATTTTAAAAAAGAATCATTTTTAGTGATGTGAAAATTACATAAAATTCAGATTTCAGTGTCTATAAATAAAGTTTTATTGGAATACAACTTTGCCTGTTTATGTATTATCAATGACTGCTTACACATTACAAGAGCAAATTTCAGTAGCTGTGACAGAGACTGTATGGACTGCAAAACTGAAAATATTTACTATCTGGACCTTTAGAGAGAATGTTTGCCAACCCCCAAGCTAGACTGTTATGAAATGCTTATGATCTGAGGTGGTAAAATAACCTCTAGTATTTAATTGTTCACACCTATCTTAGCAATATTTTACAATTACAAATGAATGATGGATTTTGTATCTTCTCCATGTGGGAGGGGTGGCTGCAACTGGTGAGCCTTGCATTTTCTCCCCTGTTGGGCGTCTCTCCCCCTCTCCCATGCCATCACCATGACTGGGGAGGCTCCTCCTTCATTGCCCTGGCCCAAGTATGAACATGCAATGCCTCCTTCATTAATTGTCCATAATAGAGCTGAGCATGACCAAAACATGTAAATAAGACTTTAAAAATTAGTGTATGAACAGACAGAAACACATACTGATAAGACAGCTCTAAAGAAAGTCTCATTCATCTTTATTTTGCAGCCTTCTCCTGGATATTCAAAGTTGGTGAAAATCTGGGCATATTCTCAGGCATGTCTGGACACCCTGAAGCCCAAATTCAAGAATGTTTTCCTACTAGAAGGAGAGAAGGAGAATATGGTTGCTCACTTCCCAGTATCAGGCCTGCCTTTGATGGATGCTGATTTCGGAACTGTCCTCCTAAACAGAGGAAAGTGGTTTCTTTCCTCCTAACCCTTATTTGGTGGTCATTTAAAAAGTGTTTCTCCTAGAGGACCATGACAGGAATTGAATTTAATGACATAGGAAAGGTCCATATGGAGTAAAGAATGCCTTCACCCACTGCTGAAATAATATAAATAGTTGTGCCCAATCCACCAAGAGATGGCATGTTCCTCCCAGAGCTGAGAAGCCAAGGCTGCAAAGAGCTCTATCACAAAATCATTCACAGTTTTAGAGAGTACCTAAAAAAAAGCTTACTAGTAATTTTTTAAAATGCCAAGTTACATATGAATACACACTTAAAGGGGTAAAAGGAAGAAGTGTTAAAAAAAATTCACACCTTTTAGGTTTACATCAGTTGGTGTTTCATAAAGAAACTGATGACAGAAACAGTGGTGAGGGGTGAGAACCAGGCAGTGTAGAGTAAGAGAAAAGAGACCCTACGACAACCCACAAAAGATCAAACACAGAAAAGGGAGATTCAGACATTGAAAGGAAGCCAACTGAGCGTGGTAAACATGGAGTATAGCACAGAGGTTTCTCTCTTTCTGAAGCCCTGCGATTACTCTGAATAAGCTCGCTTCCTGGGTTCAATTCATAACCATCTACAAGTTCATAACCATAGTGAGTTGCTGTACTCATTGTTGTGATGGTGGTTGATTCTATAGGATATAAGGAAGTTACTGCCCTGCCTTTAAGGAGTTTTAATTCAACAGCTAAACACCTAAAAAGAAAAAGGAAGAGAAGAAAAACATTTTCACACATCTCTAAACAGGTTATTATCAAATTTAAGAATGACAATTCTCAAGCCCAGAATTTCCCTAGTTTATAGTTTAGCCTCATGTGATACAACTTAAATATTTCTCAGCCTATTTACTACCTCAGACTTGGACAGAAAATAGGGATGATTTTTAAAAATTTTATCTGTACTATATATAAACAAAATCTAATCCATGAGGCATTAAAGAACACATTTTTGACTATGTATAATAAAAGGATGATAAGAGTAAGCTCTGGGTTCTAAAATGATAGGCAGAGAGCAAAGGGCTCAACATTAAGAAATTTTATCATAAAACAATAGGTAATAAATTATCATTTTTTAGATCAACATAATTTTTTAAAAATAGATAAATGCAGTTAATACAAGAAGGAAGAATATAAGATTATTCTACAAATTATATATTAGGTATAATATTCTGGTAATAGGCCCTTTAGTTCCCACATGTCATTGGTATATCATTGCTAAGTGTCATCAGTTACCAAAAATGATAGTAATACATAGAAAATGAATGCAACTTAATCATGAGGATCGATTACATGCATACATATGTGAAAGTTTCACAAATAAGCATTTTGATTTTTGCACATTAATACTATAAAATTCCAGATAATAAACAATGGATTATATGCCAAAAATTTTTCTTCTGAACAAAATTTACATAAATTATGTAAAGTTCTATACTATGTCACTGAGTGCTTTTAGAAAAAACTAATAGTCAGATGGCTATTTCTTGTGTCTCCAAAGATTTGCTAACACTGGCCATAAAGTTTATTTAAGCGTTTTTGCTTCAATAAAATATTTGTTTATATTTCAATAAAATTGCTTTTCCAATAATTACCAAATAAGAAAAGTTCATCAAGCTGAAATATGTATTTGATTTCCTTTTCATAGCTCTGGGCAGTCAGGTGGTGCTCAGCTGCGCAGTGAATGCCCAAGACTTGAGGGGGTGCAATGCTGTGATATTTGGAGGAGAAATGATTGCTGGCTGTAAAGTTTTATGTTAAAATATTATGTCTCCAGGGCCGGCCCGGTGGCGCACTGCTACAGTGTGCCGCTTGGGAGTGCAGCGGCGCTCCTGCTGAGGGTTCGGATCCCACATACAGACCAGCTGCTCACTGGCTGAGCAAGGTGCGGATGCAACACCGAGGGTTGCGATCCCGTTGCCGGTCCTGGTCCGGTATGGGCGCAACACTGAGGGTTGCGATCTGTTGCCGGTCACGAAAAAAAAAAGACAAAAAGGGAAAAAATATATATATATATTATGTCTCCAGAGTCTACTTTCTTTCAAGGCTTTGGTATGGTTTATAAAGCCTTATTAATTTTCATAGAGTCAAAAGATGAAACATATCAAGGTTTAGCTGTATAGGAATGAGATTAATTACTGGTTATAGCTTTGTGGAATAAGAGAGTTACTGAGTGCTATGCTTTGAATGTGTCCCCTACATTTTGTGTGTTGGAAACTTAATCCCCAAATTCATATGTTGATTCGGAGTGGGGCCTTTAGGAGATAATTAGCATTAGGTAAGGTTATCAGGGTGAGGCCATGAGGGAACTGATGACTTTATAAGGAAAGGAAGAGAGACCTGAGTTGACATACACGCTTGCTCTGTCTTGCCACTTGATGCCTCCCCCCATGTCATGATGCACTGGGAGCATCGTAACCAGATGTCAGCACCGTGCTCTCAGACTTCCCAGCCTCCAGAACCATAAGCTAAACAANAGTTCTATACTATGTCACTGAGTGCTTTTAGAAAAAACTAATAGTCAGATGGCTATTTCTTTTGTCTCCAAAGATTTGCTAGCACCGGCCATAAAGTTTACATAAGCATTTTTGCTTCAATAAAATATTTGTTTATATTTCAATAAAATTGCTTTTCCAATAATTACCAAATAAGAAAAGTTCATCAAGCTGAAATATGTATTTGATTTCCTTTTCATAGCTCTGGGCAGTCAGGTGGTGCTCAGCTGCGCAGTGAATGCCCAAGACTTGAGGGGGTGCAGTGCTGTGATATTTGGAGGAGAAAGGATTGCTGGCTGTAAAGTTTTATGTTAAAATATTATGTCTCCAGAGTCTACTTTCTTTCAAGGCTTTGGTATGGTTTATAAAGCCTTATTAATTTTCATAGAGTCAAAAAGATGAAATGTATCAAGGTTTAGCTGTATAGGAATGAGATTAATTACTGGTTATAGCTTTGTGGAATAAGAGAGTTACTGAGTGCTATGCTTTGAATGTGTCCCCCACATTTTGTGTGTTGGAAACTTAATCCCCAAATTCATATGTTGATTGGGAGTGGGGCCTTTAGGAGATGATTAGAATTAGATAAGATTATCAGGGTGGGGCCATGAGGGAACTGATGACTTTACAAGGAAGGGAAGAGAGACTTGAGTTGACACACACACTTGCTCTGTCTTGCCACTTGATGCCTCCCCCCATGTCATGATGCACTGGGAGCATCCTAACCAGATGTCAGCACCGTGCTCTCAGACTTCCCAGCCTCCAGAACCATAAGCTAAACAANTAACCAGATGTCAGCACCGTGCTCTCAGACTTCCCAGCCTCCAGAACCATAAGCTAAACAAACCTCTACTCTTTATAATCTACCCAGTCTGTGGTATTCAGTTATAGCAACAGAAAATGAACTAAGACACTGAGATAATAAGAGAAATAGGGATGAGTTGTAACCAAACATGACTGAGACATAAGCTTGTAACCAACATGACTAGTGACAAACAAGAGTAAGACTTACCTCATGTCAAAAATTTCCTATCAATATAAACATATCTCCCTGGGCAGTTTCAGTACTTAAGGTCAAAATTAACTTGTTAATTTATGCAATCNCATATCTCCCTGGGCAGTTTCAGTACTTAAGGTCAAAATTAACTTGTTAATTTATGCAATCGTACTTTTTGATTCAGCAGTAGTACTTTAGATTCTATTCCAAGGAAATCATTACATCTTCCTCTCTTCCTCCTTTTATTCCTCCCTCTCTTTTCTTTTCTTTCCTTTTTTTTTTCTTTCTTTCCTTTCTTTTTTTTTGGACACATACCTTGTTCTGGTGTTTGTGTTCTCGATGGTTGACTCCAATCACTCCAACTTCCTTTATAAAGATGTAACTTAGAGGAAATCTGAAATTCATATTCTGTAAATGGTTTCAGATCCAGCAAATCATGTCTTCCTTTGGCATTTGTAACATTAATCTTGAATCAGACAAGATTTTTTAAAAGTGCCTATTAATACTAAATTAATTTTAAAAATTTTAACATAAAAGGAAAAAACCAGACCAGATGACCCTTTAATTTTTTAGATCTACCATTCATTGAGAAGAAATATTGAAGACTAGTTTACTGAATACCCATGATATTAATCTGAAATAATAGCTTCTCATTAAAAAAACAAAAACAATCTCCTGGGACTCAGACCCCATCTGCACAGGTTTCAGAGGGCTTCTGAAGCCAGCTAAAACCTGAGTAAAGGCTGAAAACTATCAATTTTAAAAAGGCCTGGAGAAGTTTCAACACTAGAGATTATTTTTTATTTGGCTGCGATTAGAATGTGATGAACATTTCAGCATAGGCATAGAATTGGCTTCAAAAAGAAAACTTTAGTTATACCTCTCTTGAGAATTAAGTATATGCAGATCTGATCTTTTGTTATTATTACAAGCCATTGTATTTTACAACAATCCTGGAAGAAATCAGAATTCTATACTTTTTATTGTAAAAAATGTAATGTCTAATATTATATAAAATTGTAGACCTT